CAAATGGGATTTCATAGGGTGTAGTGTTCAGACCAAGTTCACACTGACTTGACTGAGTCATTTTTTGTGCCTGAAAGTCAGCAGCAGAGAAGGGTGCCAGCACTTGTGGAAGAGAAGCACTACCTGCAGATTTCCTAATTCTCTATCTATGGGCATGTGTGTGCAAATAAAGGAGTGTGGGAACCAAGACATGAACTTTATTCATGGTTTCATAGAAGCACATACTTTCCATCTAACACCTTTCATTCAGGAAATACTACTGGTAATTTGCTGACCTGCCACAGTGATTCCTTACAGTTTAAAGTAACCTGCAAGAGTTCTTTAAAATGTGTTGCTGAAAACATATCTAAAAGTAATCAGATGCTGTTAGGTGATTTCAGGACAGTGTCATATGCTAAAAAATAATGCTCTATAGCAGAAAGCTGTATGGCACTGTTATTTCTGCACTGAGTGTACTTATAGGTTACATAAAGAAGTACATAAAGAAAGAAAGAAAGGCTAATAAAGATACACTGAGGGTGTCCTCGCAGTACAGCACAGTCTGTAATAAAAAAACCCAGCAGGCTAAACAGATATCCCTAAAATAACCTCAGCAGAGTATACTGTATTTATTTAATTCCACATCATCTGATTGAGTAATGTCTTTTATACATTAACACTGCTCCTAATTTCCTCTGTAAAATTCAAGAACTCGGCAGGTATCACAAGTTTTAATTGCCAGCCTCATTCTACACCAGCATGTGGCATCTAGACATTATTAAACAAAATACTGATCATCGTCCACATTTTCCATTTGTACAGTTCCATTGCACTTGCCTGGTGTGCTGTGCAAATTTGGAAAATTAAATGGGGAACAGTTTAGTTTATTTATCTAATATAGAAGTAAGGATACATATTTTAAAAATCTATAGTATTGTTTGATTTTCTTCAGCATGAATATTGACATATGTGTTGCTATTTGACTGACTGCTGACTTCTTTAAATATGAGAAATGGATCAGTTGTGTTTCTCTAAAAATATTGTCTTGTATTGGTGCTTCTGGATATTTTAAACTCAAGATAAATTCACCAGGGTTCTGCTGAAGGAAGGGCTCCTGAATCCTAAAGAGAAATGAGGACCATTAGCTTCAAAAATCATAAGGCAAACAGGATGGTAACAAACCTTCAAAACTTCACCTAAGCCACAGTCCATTAGGTATGGACCAAGGTTGGTGCCCAAGGATGTCCCTGGGGTGCTTTGAGTGCAAATTTCACAGCTAGTTGTGAAAAAAAATGCAGCAAAAGTAAATGTACTCTGCCCAAATAACATGGTGTAACACCCTGTGTTCTGATCCCTTTCTCCATTCTCATGACTTCTTAAGCATAGAGAGGAAGCCATATGAGTACCAGCTGTAGTCACTTGGTCTGTTCAGCCTGGAGAAGAGCAGACTGAGGGGACACCTCATTGCAGTCTACAACTTCCTCGTGAGAGGAAGAGGAGGGGAAGGCACTGATCTCTTCTTTCTGGTGACCAGTGACAGGACCTGAGAGAATGGCCTGAAGTTGTGTCAGGGGAGGTTTAGGCTGGATATTAGGGAAAGGTTTTTCACCCAGAGGATGACTGGGCACTGGAACAGACTTCCCAGGGAAGTGGTCACAGCACCAAGTCTGGCAGAGTTCAAGAAGCATTTGGAAAATGCTCTCAGGCACGTGGTGTGATTCTTGGGGCTGTCCTGAGAAGGGCCAGGAGTTGGAGTCAATGATCCTTGTGGGTCTCTTCCAACTCAGCGTATTCTGTGACTGTGATTATTTGTTCAAGCATCACTGAATAAAAGTCATGAACAGCTTTGGGTGTATGAACTAGAACCCAGTCTTTTCTTTCCCATCTCAGTGTCTCCAGACACGGGCTCCTTCCTATTGCTTCTCTTCATCTCTCTGGCTCTGTGGATTATGCACCTCTGGCTATGTGGCGGCCACATACCAGAGTGTGGCACTATTCTTGCACATCTCCAGCAGACAACTAAGCTTGTTCATTGAAGAAAACAGAAAAAGGGAGTCAAGCCATTTCCAGCTGAGGCATGAAAGAGATTTAGTGCTATACTTTTATGCAAAACATACAGCACTATTTCCTTCTTTGTTAGTCTTGCTACCTAGAGGGCAGATTCGGCAGTTCCTGATAGTATGTAAGTAGCCCTTGCCCTAGACCTGACAGCACCTTTTCTTGAGCTGTTCTTTTTCCTTGCTGGCACTAACTGGTTTAATGCTTGGCTTGGGGAAGCACTAAGTGAATCAGTTCAAGTGCTCAACATCCTTTTGGAGTCTGAAAATATGTAGACTCCTCACTTCTGCTTTTCTAGGACATGTTCCCTTGCTGACAACCTTGCTTGGGCCACAAGCTTTAATGCCAAGGTGTTTTATCACCTACTTTATACACTGAAAAGTGGCCTATGCCAGATAGGGAACTGTAGACAATTTCAGCAAAATGTATTTGCCTCAGCTTTTTGGCCAAAATCAGATGAGCAAAAACTGGAAATTGGGAAGGAAATTAATGCTTCCTCTTTTTAAAATCTTTTTGATTTCTAAGATGTTAACAAGAATTTTTATTAGAAATAAATGGACATAACACATTAGTAGGCAGCACATATTTTTTCTCTGATATTTAATGTAATTGCAATTATTCTAAAGCAATTATTTATAACAGGAAAAAGCAACTGAAACAAAACTGCTGGTTTTCCACTTTTCTTATTCTCATAAGTTTGAGGTTCCTAGTTGAACCCTAAAAGAATTATTGTGTAGCATCTTGTAAAACAGATACTCCTGTGGTTTGGAGGCTTCTTTCTGCAATCCTCAAGTGGGCAAAAACAGTTTTATGGGATTCCACTGACATTAATTTCACTGACATTAGAAGAAAAAAAATATGTGAAAGAGTTGCTAGTGCTTTCAGCACTGTTATATCTAAATCCATAATAAAGTACCTTGCTTATAAATCCACTAAAGCTGTGTTGAGATACTGCAAATGAGTTAAAACCTACACAAGTATGTTTCAGTATATGAAATATTTATACCTACACAATATTTATTATAATGGTATGTTAAGGAAACTTCCCTGTCTGACCATCCAGGAGCCACTCTGGCAGTCAGACTGTGGCACCATCTGAGCTGTGACCGAGGCCCCTTCACAGCTACACCCCCCACACTCACAGTCAGACCAGGTTTCCTGACCGCCTCGACCCCAGGTTTCCCATAGCAGATGCTTAAAATAATTTAATGATGGTGTAATAACTAAATAACAAAATAACAGCTTGTGCTGGTGTCTCTGAGGAGGAATCCTCAACAAAGGGACCCCTGAGCGCTTATACTCTAAGAGTCTAAGAACAGAAGAGTCTGGGGGTCATCAGCTCCTGCCCTGTCGCTGAGTGTCTGGTCCCCTGGATGGGCCACAGGTCCCTGTGCCCTTTGTTAGGCAAAGGGTCAACAGTTCACAGCGTCTTGCCTTGGGCTCTCATCACCCAGACAGAGCTCAATCTGCAGCTTCACACTGAGCTACCTGCACTAAATACATTCCTTAACAGGTATATCTCATACATTGATTTTCAATTTATATTTATGGGAACCATATCCAGGAAATGGAATCATTTTTTGTTTACATTCAACAAGCCTATTACTAATTTTTTAATCTTAATTGAAAATCCAATACCTTATTTTCCAAACTACCTTCTCAAGTATTTTCAGTTTTCAAGTTGCAGGTTTTTTAAGGAAGCCACAGATTCTCAAAATAGGGGTGTTTTCAAATAATCTGTGTTCTTACTTCCACAGGCTGTACAGAGATGGGTTAGAGCATGAAAAAGGTTAAAGGGGCCATGCTTGAGAAGACAAGGGGTGGGAATGAGATTGTAGCTTGCAGGTGTGGGTTAAAAGCAGTAGCCATTTTATTAAGTGCAGCCGGTACAATTTAAAAGTTTAGGTATTTTCTAGGCTTCTGTTTCTCTTCAAAGTAAGATATTTAACTGTGACTCAGAGTCAATCCGAGTCTTGAGAGAAGTTCTAGAAAAATTATTTGTCAAATGACTGGAGGTAGTGTTTTAGAAACATGTAAAGAAGATTTAAAGTAATGTGCTTAAAGATTCCATTTCAGATTGATCAAAAACAGGGCAAACATTGCTCAGAGTTTCCAAATCTCTCTCAACCATTTTCTTCACGATAACAATCTCCAAACAGTTGACAGATTTAAGTCTTACAAGGTGCCAGGGGCTTTCTGTTCATCACAGGTGTAGTTCCTGACCTAAATTCTTCAGCTGTTATTTGTTCCTTGAGTTGCCATATTTGTTAATCACTTGCTTAGTAAGTGCATGTTTGTTTTTTCATGTATCTCAGTCCTTTCATTTCCCATTCAGGAAGTCCTGTTCACAAGAATATGCCCGAAACACTGTTCATGACCAGAGGCAAGCACAAGCACATTTTGCTCACCACACTTTTGTGCTCTACATCTGTGGGGGAAAAAAGGGGCCTACTTTCATCTTATCTAGTTCTATGCACTTAAATTATATATCTAAGCTTTGTTAGCTGGCTCTTTTGTATAGTCAAGGCATCTCCAGAGTACAATCCAGCCTAGTCAAAATCCAAAGTGGAGAATGAGTAGCAAAAAGGCATGACTTGGCCAACTGGAGAAGAAATGTGTAATAAAGGAAATAACATTTGTGCTAGTCAACAAAACTATCTGCTTCTTTCTATACAGAACTACCTCAGGATTGGGGTAGAGAGGCCAAAAGCTGCAAGATAAGGCTAGGATCTTAGGTATTCCTCAAGAAATTTGCTCTGTGTAAACATTTTTAGTTTTTCTGCCATCGTTTTCCTGGAAAAGAACACCCATGATGCAGACTGTGAAAAATAGCTTTATCATAGAGAACCTTATGTCTTTAATTTTTACGTACACTCAACATCATAATGTTTCATTGGTCTGTCACATACACACTATATTTTATGACAATTAAAAAGTACACTGTCTTTTTCTTAATTTTATAGCTCCGTAAATCTGTTTTCAGCATCAGAGCAAGAAATCTTCTGGAAAAAGAGACGGCAATCAATAAAATTCTAAGGTAAGAGTCAGATGTGATTTTGGTATTGTTTTGACTGTCGTCTGATTTCTCATAACCTTGTTTTTCACAAATGTTACTGGATGTATAGTATTAATAGTGTATCCCTTTGTAGTACATCTATTGCTTTCATTATAAAAAATAAATTGCTCTTTTCTCTGGCTATATTATATGTTTAAACAGCAATAAGAGAGAGATTGTTCTTCTTTGGTATGTATTTGAATTCTGTGTCACGCAGAAAGATCACGTTTCAGCTCATTTCATTTCTTCCTTCTAAATTAACTAAAACATGCCCTTTCATAAGTGATGTTATTTTGCCTAAAGAATTCTAACCTGGACCTGGCAAGTATATGCACATAAACATTCACAGGGATTGCACACTAGAAAGTGTAGACTACAGCCAATGATATTCCAAGTACCAAATGGATAAAGAAGAAGATTTCAGAACTGTGACTTCTGTAGAAGGATTTCCTGAATGTTTTAATAATGATCACTCCTTTTGGTATTCTATATCAAGTAAGTACTCAGTACCATAAGTGACTAATGCCAGTCTGAGTCTCCAAGGCCCATGTCTGAAGTTATCATATAGGTAACACCATGCTGCAGTTTTTCATGCTACTGTTGGTTTTACATTAAAATGGCTGTTCTTGGTATAAGGTGCATTAGCAATGCCAACACTTAATAGAGCATTCTTTTTATATTTAAATTCTCAGCAAAGCAGATGCATCTCCAGAGTATTGTCAGTGAGAGGTCCCAGGTAAGCACACAGTATAAACAGGAATAACTTTGCTGAAAAGTATAGATTAAGTGAGGCAGTGTTTTGTGAGGAGCAGTGAACTAGAAGTTCAGTGTGATTTCTGAATTATGAAGTTTCTTGAATCCATGCCATTTGAGAAGTATTGGTTCTTTTTAATGCTCTATCAGAATACAGAACAGGGAGAACTATAGCAATTAATGTGAAACTTTTTCTGTCTTTAAATCCATGTAATGAAAACATAAAATTACTAATTCAAATGAATTTTCAGTGTAAAGATATTGTTCATAAATGTAAATGCAGTAGTATAAGTATTCAATTTTAACAAATCTCAGAGCTCCATTTGTAAGCATTTTTTCAGTTGTGGGACTGTACCTTGATTTTACAGGCATAACTGTTACAGATAGATTAATCAAAAAACTTTTTAAAATATGGTTTTAGATACAAGCGTCCTGGCATCATTTCAGTAAAACATTTTTAATGAAATTCTGTGTTATACGAGAACTGTGAAATGCTATTGACATCTTCAGGGTTACACAAATGTCATGTTTTTTGATGTGTTTCTTATACTATACCACAGAGAAAAAATGTAGACGAAGAAAATATCCTACTTTTATATATTTAATTTTTTTTTAATTACATCTGTAGGGACTCCATTCTTTCTTAGACAGAAGAAAAAAAATTAAGTTCTGCAAAATTGAAATTAAGAATTCTGATGAATTCTCCCATCAGCATAGATTTTTCCCCTTTTCAGGATAAATCTGAAACAGAATGGGAGGAGAATCTAAGCAAAGCATTGTTTGGATTTCACTGATTTCTCAGACATACTAGGACAGGATCAGAAATCAGTCCTTCCAGTTTCAATCCTACTGAATTCCACTTGGTCCTACAGATCATGACTTCTGCCAAAATCTTGTGTCTAGAAGGACTTCTCATCAATTCACCCAAATTCCTCTGAAGAAAAGTTTCTGAGGAAGAAGAAGAAAGTTTTCATTTACTAATCTATTATTTTATTTTTAATTAATCTATTTAATCTATTAATTTAATCTGCATTTACTACTTTCTCATCTATTTCCTGGTTCATCAGCAATGAACTTTGAGAAACACAGAAAAAGGGGGGAACTTGTGTGAAGTAAGAAAAACGTGGGATCACGTGCCCTCTAATGCTTTCTTGGGATGCTTGTAAGTCATTTACAAAGAAGCAGTCTTATTCTCCTCCTGAGAAAAAGGAGCAAATAGTGTTTATTGTTCCTTGGGTTTGCCTCAAAATTGTTAAATAAACTCTGATCTATGACATTTACAATGCATCTGTTTCAGCATAAAAAAACTGTGTTCATGGCATATCTGGTGGGCAAGCTGATAGAGAGCATTGCCAGTGAGGGTCTGACTGGTCCTGAGCACTGACAGTGTTTCCATGTTGATGACAGTGTTGCCACTGTTGATGCAGGTGAGTTTTACAAACAGAGGAAGTGATAAGATTTACATCTGAAATTTTAGATTCAGTTTAAGTAACACAGGAAAATTCAAACTCTCAAGACTTTTTCTCATTTTTGCTATAGTTGTAAAATACATAAACCCCTTCATAAAATTAGGTGACTCTCAGCTATTCAGAATATCTGAGAAAAGAACAAATGGCATTTATGCCAAGAACAATAAGAGATAAATCAGGATGTCCCTTCAGAAAAAATTGCTTCTAGCATCTTCTTAATTTTTGTCTACCTGAATTAAGGAGCATTTATCTAAAGCAATGCCTCTACACAGTAAAACCGCCCATGGGCAACTTCAGCTTGACAAAATTGCTGCCCTGAAAGAGAATTTTAAGTCTATTCTAGCTTAAGTCCACCTCTGACCTTTTCCCCTCTATTTTTTAAACCTTGTCAATTTATATTTTAGTCAAATTGTGAATGTTTCAATATAACCAACTGTACTATGCATTACACAAAGATACCTCTATGTCTCTCTTATGCATCTTTCTCTATGCAAACCTTGGTTTTCCCTTTGTATGATGAACTGCAGTTTGACTTCTCCCCCAAGAAGAGGAAGAAGGACATGAATAGCCCTGACCACCCAGAGAGACAGTTCATACATTCAATCCTAGGTGTCTCAGCTCCTCATCTAGTGTTACATTATGCAGCAAAATGCAGGTCTTGGGTCTCTTCTGAAGCTTTCTTGCTGCACTCCAGGGGAACTACCTAGTTTCTGAACATCCTTGTTTTGAAACTAATCTTCCCCTGGCCTCCTTGAGGTCTTTGTGCACTTAGGCATGGGAACCAAGTTAAGGATGTAGTAACTACTGTCCTGAGTATTTTACCAATGGTTTGCATCTTTGCTCTGCCGGTGTCAGAGCATCGAGGGGCTTAACTCTTCATATAAATCCATTCTGAGGTAGGGACTCCACTGGAAATGAAAATGAAACAAGGTTAGAGTATAGACAGTTAGAACAACTTTTTTAGAACAAAGTCCCATTTAGTAGTGCCTCTGAATTGCAAACAACTCCATTCCTTTCTGAAAATTATGATACGTTTCCCTCAGCAGCAATAACCACTTCTAGCAAATTTAATTCCTCCTGCATATCTTCAGTGATTCACACTTTTTTCTCACTGTAGCTTGCTGTGAGCACTGCTTTTCCTCTTAAAAGCAAGTTCTGTGTCTGTGGTTCTTGTGACCCTCATTCCTTGAAGGATCATTATCTAAGAATGAGGTCTAGTCCTTTAGTCTAGTCCTCGAGTCCCACTGGCTTTCTGAAGCAGACAGAGTGGAGTAGGTCCAGTCAAAACATTGTGTATAAATCAGTCCATTCTCTCCAGTGCTGAGGATAAGTTATTAACAGTACAGAATGGTGGGGAAACTGAGTAAATTAAAATTAGTCTCACAAAGTCCAAAATATAATTAAAGTCTCAGCGTTGCAAAACCTTATTCTGTTGTCTATTAAACTGTGCTTCAAAGAATCAGAGAATGTTTGAGATTGGAAGGGACCTCTGGAGGTCATGTGGTCCAACCTCCCTGTTCAAGCAGAATCACAACAGCCAGTTGCCCAGGACCATGTCCAGATGCCTTTTGAATATCTCCAGGGAAAGAGACTCCTCAACACAAATGTATAAAACTATGTATTGTGACAGTTTGGGAAAATAACATTTCTTTTTAAATGGGCAGCTTTTTATTTGTTTTTCATTACAGCTGACGCTATAGTCAAACTGCAAACTGATGCTAAGGGTGTGCAATAGGATTTTCACTGTTCTAGATAAGGTTTACCTGATGTGTTTCTTGGGCCTGAGGGAATAACATAACTCATGCTTAAGTGGAATCTTAAGTTTCACGAACACCTAATTGAGTGAAGTGCATTTATCTTATGTTTGAAACTGAGACTACCATGAGTGCATTAGGGGTGGGGGGAGGAGAGAAATAATTGCTTGAATTAAGTATTCCATTCTACTAATTTGCTAATGTCCTAGTTAGAACACTTGGGACCAGTTCATCACTGTATGGGTGTAACCCAAAACTGTGTATTCTATAGCCTTCCATGCCATTTCCCAGGAACTGTTATCAATAGACCATTTACACCATCTGCCCAGAGCACAGCCTGACTCCTCAGGCTATAAACCGGGTCTTAAGAGCCCTGTGAGATAGGAGGATGCTCCTGTCCTCACACCCATTGTGGAACTCCCCACCCTGAGGGAGGTACTGGGCATTCCTGCCTGAACTGGAGGATATCTAATCTTGGAGTCTTGGGACTTTTTTAACCACTCATGGGATCCAGAGGAAGACTGCAGACCACCACTTTCAACCAGACTGCAACCATCACTCTCAACCGGACTGCAATCACCGCTCTTGACCAGACTGCAACAGCACTCTCACTAACAGGTTTTTTTCCCTCTCCTTTTACTTTGGACTCAGGGAGCCCAAGGAACACCACTTTGTTCATACCCCAGGGTGGTGGGTTATATGTTTGGGTTTTGTGGGTTAAAACCAACTGTTTGTCTGTATAATCATATTTATTGTATTATTTTATTAAATTGTTATTCTGATTTATAATCTCTCCTTTGAGTTGAGTTCATTTCCCCTCCCAGTTTACCTTTAAACCAGCACAGCTAATACGCTAGAAGTTGATTCAGACTTTGTTCCTACAAGTATTTCTGCAAAATACAGTGGGTTTTTTTTTTCTGAATGAGCAAGAAACAAGGTTCTCTGTGCTTCTAGGAAAGTTATAAAGTTTATCTCTGAATAAAATCTCTCTGAACACTAATGTATA